TCCAGCCCTGGAACTTTCAGCTGGGACCACGAGGGCATAAAGAGGCCTTGGAGACCTGGTTCATGGCCATAGATGAGGAAACAGGGACCCAGAGAGGGCTCTGACTTTCACCGAATCACACAGCCTGTTACAAATCCAGGACAAGAACTTAGAAGCTCCAAGGCCCATCCCATGCTCTTTCCACTGTCACTACTTGTAGCAGTTAGGAATGCGTTCAGCTGCAACAAGAGGAAACTGGTTTAGCCATCAGAGAATTGGTGGACCAGGCCTGGATACTGCCGCTTCCATCAAACTTTATATTCTCTGCTGTGGTCAACCTTTGAGACATTGGGGGACAAAAACAAGAGCCTGGTGGCTTTCTGGGCAGGGCATTCCCAGCCAAGATCCCAATTAAAGCTAGCTCATTGGAGATGGCTATTGGGTCTGCCACACAGCTTGCTTGAATTGGGATCTTGGCTGGGAATGCCCTGCCCAGAAAGCCAGCAGGTCCTTCTGTTTGTCCTCCAATGTCTCAAAGGTTGACCACAGCAGAGAATATAAAGTTTGGCTCTTCCGCTGAGATGGAAATTTCTGGAGACTGACCACAAACATCTTTCACATGCTAATCTTTCCATTTTCTCCTCTTCCTGAAAGCCCTCCTCAGAAATGTGTACCTGTGCAAATGGAGGGGAGGGCATGGGGCACAGGACCAGTAGGCCAAGAGAGCCGCATGCTGGGAAAGAGAGTGAAGTCAGAATGCTGATGTTCCAGACCCTCTGCCATCTTGCTTGGAGACCTGGACTAGGTGCTTTGACATCTTCCTTCACATCTTACCTCCCTGTGGGGAGCATGCAGGCATGACCACAGGAATTCCCTTCTCCTCACCACTCCATCCACACCTGCCTCTTCTTCTAGGCTTGGTCAGCTTCCTCCACGAAGACCTCCTACCCACTCACACCTCCCAGCCTCTTCCCACCCAAGCCCTCATGCCACTCCACGGCAGGCACCTGTTAATGTTCTCATGCATGTGAGCTCACGCTATCTTTAACAGCAGTCCCAAAGTGCGGTCCCTGGAGCAGCAACATCAGCATCACCTGGGAACTTGTCAGAAATACAAATTCTCAGATCCCACCCCAGACCTGTGGACACAGAAACTCAGGGGTGGGGCCCAGTGATCTAGATTTTAACAAACTCTCCAGGTGATTCTGATGCAGGTCAAATTTGAGAACCACTAACATATAATGGGAGCCCTGGTGGCGTAGTGGTTAAGAGCTTGGCTGTTAAAGGAAAGGTCGGCAGTTTGAATCCATGAGCTTCTCCTTGGCAACTCTATGGGGCAGTTCTACTCTGTCCTACAGGGTCTCTATGAGTTGGATTTGACTCAACGGCAATGGGTTTGGGTTTGTTTTTTTTGAATATATAATGACTCTCAGGCTGTGAAATGGCTTCTGGACTGTTAGCGCCAACCCACAGGCAGCTGGGAAAGGCAAAAATAAAACTGAGCCAATCTGGCCGCCCTACACGTCAGCACAGACCAGGCAATAACCCTGGGAATACGTTAAGATTCCTGGGTCTCAGAGTCACTGTTAGAGTTGGAAAGAACCACAGGGACCACCTAATCTCCCATCTTGCGGATTAGGGAACCGAAATTGAGAGAGGAGAAGGAATTTGCCCAAGGTGAGTGGCAAAAGTGGAACCTGGAATTCAAGTTTCCTGAATCCTAAAAATTATTTAAAAAAAAAAAAGTAGCAGTGATACCTAGTGCATGAACCTTTTACAAGAACATGATCCTAAGGAATGTATCTTCTCTGTAAACATTTGAAGAAAACCCAGGGGAGCAGCTATGAGGCTGGAGCGATGCCTCGTCTGCAGACATGCGGTGTGGGCCTTGAGGACCTCTGTCCTTTTTGGGGGAGCAGTCACTTTTCGCTGTCCCTTCCGCTCTTCTTCCTCCACATCAGCCCAGTGGCCTCCCCAAGTGAGACCAATGGCAGGAGCTAGTGGGTGTTCAGCTTGCTTCTTTGTAGCTTCCAGAGCGCTGAGCACAGTTTGTCAGAGCTAGACCGCTGCGCACAGAGCGGGCAGGCCCGCCCCAACCACATGCGGGGCCCAGAATGGGAAACGGCCTGTGTGCAGGGCGGAGTCAGACCCAGCTCTGTGAGATGGCTTTGGTGACGGGGTGGGGTAGAGGGGTGGCCTGGGGCAGAGTGAGGGCAGGACCACCAGGACCACCGGAGGGGTTGCATGGAGAACCTCCTCCTCCCCAGGGAGAACAGGACCCTGACACAGACCAGCCTGGGCCCATGGCAACTTCAGTATAGGCAGAGAGTGACCACTGGGAGGACTTGGAGATCTGATTTCCCCTTCCTCCCCCTCTAGTGAATTAGCAGCAAACTTGCCAAAAACAAAAAGGGGTGGGCGGCTCACTTTGGAGACATGAGGCAGGGGCAGTGGAGAAATCTGCAACCTCCTCTGCACCAGTTCAGGAGTCTTCGTGGTGCAGTGGTTAAGCGCTCGGCCGCTAACCAAAAGGTCAGTGGTTCGAACTCACTAGCTGCTCTTCGGGAGAAAGATGTGGCAGTCTGCTTTCGTAAAGATTACAGCCTCGGAAACCCTATGGGGCAGTTCTGCTCTGCCCTATAGTGTCGCCAGGAGTCGGAATCGACTCGACAGCAATGGGTTTGGGTTTGGGTTCTGTGCACGAGCCCAGAGGAGTAAGGTGTGGAGGCAGCTGGGATGTGCCAGCGACTTGAGGCCTCACCAGGGGCGGGGGGCAGGGGGGACGGTGCTGGGAATCAGTCCAGACTGGAGAAGGGAGTCAGGCCTCGATAGCTGGAGCGGGGAGTGGTCCCTGACTCCCGGCTGCCATTCCTGGTGGGCAGGAGGGTGGCCTAGGGCAGGAAGGCCTTCGACCACCTAAGAAGACAAAACTGATCCGCAGTAGAACGTTCCTACCAGAATCCAAGCCACGGCAAGTGCAGGGTTGTTTGGTTTTATTTAAAAAACAAACCAACATCTTTTATCGGCACTGACCCAGCAGTGGCCCTGGGTCACCTGACAATCAAATGTCATGTACACAGCACTCACGTGGCCACAGGGTTCTCACCCGGGCTGCACACTGGCCCAGCCGCACAAATATATTTCTCAATGCACAAATCTTCCTTTAAAAAAAGAAATCAAACAGTCATCAGGTCACAGAGGAACCAGGGTAAATCACTCCCTCTCTCCTGTGAGGAGGGGACAAGGCTTGGCAGTGGAAGCCGAGCTCCTGGCCCCTCACAGGTGCGATAACTGGACTCCCTGAGGGAGACAGTGTGGCTACTGCGAAGTTGCCACCAGGGCCACCCCCTGCTGCTGAGAGATGGAAAGGATCTGTCCCGACACCCACAGGTGGGGGCGAGCCACCAGGAACCCGGCCTGTCATCAGCGTCCCTGAAGCCCCCGCAGACTGGGATGCAAATAGCTCCAGGCCCACGCGACTCCCAGTCTGCTGACGAGGGCTGGCTGCTCCTGTTTCTTTTCTTTCTTTTTCTTTTTTTTTTTAAGGGAGCAAAATTCAAAGTAAGAGCTGGTAGTTCTGGAAACTTTTGCTCTGGCTCGTCAGACAACTGTGGCAATAATGGAGCAGCAAGAGGACCCTCTCCAGGCACTGCCCACTGAGTCTCACAGGGAATGGGAAAGGGGGCCTTCCTCAGGAGAGAGTGGTCCTCAGGCCCAGCATGAGGAAAGCCCCTGTCCACACTGAGGAGACGGCGCTCACCCCAGTACCTAGCCAAAAAGAACGGCGCTTCCTTCCCAGTTCCTAGATCCTCAGAGGGCCTTGTGCAGCCTAAGAGGTCTGGGTACCTCCTGCTCCAGTGCTTGGAGCTTCCTCAGGCTGATCCCTTCAGTTGGAGGTAACTGCTGCAGACAGGTGTACAGAGCAGGCTGAGCCATGGCGGGCGCCATACTGGGGCTAGATACTCTGAGACTGACCCCAGAGGAGGAAACTCAGGAGTGGGCTTAACCCAGGAAAGAAAGAGCCGGTGCAGTTGAGGGGCAGGGCACACAGAAGCAGGCCCAATTCTGAGGCCTGCCTTCCTTACAACAGATAGCTCTTTAGGTGGGAGTTTAGACCCTAATCCTGCATCAAGCCCCCAGCTAATAAAAATTCTTCCGAGAAGCATTTCCTTTGTCTGATGATTCCTTGAGGGTTTCATCCCCACAGTCCAATCCTGGCCTCCCCCAGCCCAGCATTCTCAGGTATCAATAAGCCGGGACACACCCAGCCACTGAAGACAAGGGCAAGGAGCTGAGCATGCCCAGTAGCATTGCCTTCTCAGAGGCCTGGCTGCAGCCTCATCTGGTAAATGCCTCGGTGGACAGACACAGTGTCCTCAGGAGGGAGCGGACAGATGAAGCAGGGGCTGAGGGGAGGTGTGGGGGGCTGGCACACCCAGAGCTGCAGTGTCTGCTCTCAGAGGGGGCCGTGGGAGCCAGCAGGAGGACCTGCAGGCCCTCTCACATCTCACCAGGCCCCACTGGGGTGTCTCTGCAGGGCAGGCTCCATGCTCCTGCAGAGGCCGTGTGGGAAGCCGGCCTCAGCCTGTTTCCTTGGTAACTGGACTTTTCTGAGCTCGAGCCTGGTGAGGCTCCATGTGGTGGGAGAGTCTGCAGTGAAGCAGGGCCTGTGCCAGCCTGTGGGTGAGGCGTGACTGGGGGGCCGCCAGCACGCTGCCTCAGGTAGCAGAGGGCCAGGTGGTGCCTGGGAGGCAGAAGGCTGGCTTCCAGCAGGAGGAACCTGCTCCCGTCCAAGTTGGGGGAATTTTCTTTAGCACTCGTCTTTATTCCAGTTCAAAGCAAGCATAGAAACTTCTCTTCAGTGTCGGGAATCACAGATCTGAGGCATTCTGTGGTTTCTCACACTTCCTTTCCCATCACACGTTTCTTCTCTGAGCAGCGTTAACCGGATTTACCGAGAAGGGCCTTATGTACATAGACTTCTGAGTTGGTTTCCATTGCAAGGGTGGGGAGGCTTGCTTTCAGAGGAAGGGCCGAAGGAGGCCAGCAGCGAGGCACAGTGGCAGCAGCAGCAGTGGGGGCACCCTGGAGGCGGTGACCGCTGGGGGACCAAACGGCAGTGAGGCCTTACAGCACGCAGAGCCGCCCTTGTGGCCCCTGGGATCTGAGGATGGCCCTTCTGTGCACTAAGCTCATGCCAGGCTCCAACTTCCACCTTAAGTTCTCTCTCCCTGGCATCTATACATATGCATTCCCTTAAAAATTATACTACATGCATATGTATGCAGTTGCCTCAGATCCCCTTTGGACTATTATAATTAGCACTTATGCTAATTATCCAGGTCTGTCTGGGTTACGCAGCTTGTGTTTCTGCCTATGATTGTCTGCAGCTCCCTGTTTACACCCTCCTTGGACACCTCGCCTTGGTTGTTTGTGAAATGGGGGCTCCTGCTGCGTGTCACCAAGAACCCAGAGGGTCCTTCAGCAAAGTCGAGGAAGGCTCTGATGATGCTGGGGAATGTGGCTGGCGCCTGCTCTGCTCTGCGTGGTGTGAAGCCACCCCTCCCAGGGCTTTCGAAGCTCCCCATCTGTACCCAGGTGCCCTACCTGCTCGCGAGCACTGTTGAGACAGCATCCCTTCCAGGGACGCGACATAGTCGAGGCCCAGCCAGTCTCCGTATGTGTTTTTCTCCCCAACAGGCACCGCTCGGATGGTGGCATCCTTGAAAAGCAGGTCTTGGCCATGATAGTCAGAGGAGTCGAACATCTTGAAACCATTCTCGTTGTGGTCATCCCCAAACAGGGCCTGGAAGCAACACAAGTAGACCTGCCATTGGCCCAGGGCCCTCTTGTTTTCAGTTGCTTTACATACGTTGAACCGAAAAGGGGGTAATTCAGGGTGCCGCAACTCTGATTTAAAATCATAAGCTTGACAATTGATTGGCCTCTGTCGTCAAGGAGGATTTAGGGAAGCATAGGACCACAGGCACCACTGTAAGATATTCAGAAACGTTACACCAAAGCCAGTTCATGGATGCAGAAGTAAAGTGTGAAGTGCACAAGACCCCAGAAAGGAACAACAATATGGATGGGGTTATTGAGTGTTTTGCTAGCCTGAAAGACCTGCTCATCATCTCTCAACCTTTTCTGCAATGCCTTCTTGCTCTATCTTATGGGCCTCCTTTTCTTCAAACCAGAACAATGTCATTGAGACAGCCTTTCATTCTGTCACCAGTAATAATAATAGGTGAGTTGAAAATGCCTTTACTAACCCAACCTCTCCATCACCTATCTGTCAGTTTGTCTGACTGTGATGGCTTGTGTGTTGCTATGATGCTGGAAGCTATGCCACCGGTATTTCAAATACCAGCACGGTCACCCATGGTGGACAGGCTTAAGCAGAACTTCCGGACTAGGACTAAGAAGAAAGGTCTAGTGATCTACTTCTAAAAATTAGCCAGTGAAAACCTCCTGGATCACAACAGAACACTGCTCAACTTGCATGCTTTGGACACATCATCAGGAGGGACCAGTCACTAGAGGAGGACATCATGTTTGGTGAAGTAGAGGGCCAATGAATGCATAGGAGACCCTCGGTGAGATGGATGGGCACAATATCTGCAACAATGGACTGGAATATGCTGGTGATTGCTGAGGATGACGCAGGGCCAGGCAACATTTCGTTCTGTTGTACACAAGGTTGCCATGAGTCAGAGGTGACTGAAGGGCAGCTAACAACCCGCCTAGTGGCCTAGAGATTCTGTTGCCATCCCTTCCCTGCTAAGAATCCCTTGACCGAATAGTGCTACAGCCCTAAAAGAGCTACGAAGACCAAAAGTAGACAAGAAATTACAAATACATACGTAAATAAAAGGACATCTGGAGAACATGGATAAATGCCCACGTCAGTTTTTAAATACCAGTCAAGAGGGAAAGAAGGAGTAAAGTAGCTAGCAATCAAGTGGTTAAGAGCTTGGCTGCTAACCAAAAGGTTGGCAGTTTGAATCCACCAGCCGCTCCTTGGAAACCCTATGGGGCAGCTCTACTCTGTCCTGTAGGGTCGATAGGAGTTGAAATCGACTCAATGACAATGGGTTTGGGTTTGCTTTTTTTTTAATGGGCCCCCTGGAGTCCCTGGTGATGCAAATGGTTAAGTGCTCAACTACAAACCAAAAGGTTGGCAGTTTAAACTGACCCAGAGGTGCCTTAGAAGAAAGGTTTGGCAATCCACTTCCAAATGGTCATAGCCATGAAAACCCTATGGAGCAGTTCTACTCTGCACACCTGAGGTTGCCATGAGTGGAGCTAACTGCACAGCAACTGTTTTTTTGTTTTTTTTTAATAGGTCCTCTTGAAGATCTAATGAGATCTATCAGCTTCTTTCCAGAAAAATCTCCATCCACACAGGGTTTCCCACATTACTTCAGAGAGTTTAGGGACTCCTGCTGGGGAAGCCCAGGGACCCAAGGTAAAGAACTCTGGGACAGAGGGGCTCTGTGGAGAAGATGAAAAGAGCATAAATAACTTAGAGCTTAGAAACAGACCTGGAGAGCCAGTCAGCTCTGCAATCTCTGGTGCTGGTGGGTGGGGCGGGCAGGGTCAGCCTAGGCCAGTGGGGGCGGGTTGTGTGTGGGGGTGGTGGGGACAGGTTGGGAACCTGGATTCTAATTTTAATCCCGGTAGTGGAGGACGTGATGAGTTAGATCAAATTTTTAATGTATTTTGAAAGTGTGGTCAACACGATTTGCTCAGGGATTGGACGTCGGGTATGAGAGGAAGACAGGAGTCAGAGGTGACTCCTGAGACGCTGGGAAGGATGGGGTTGCTGTGAACTGAAACCAGGAAGACTGAGAGGAACAGGGGTTCAACTGTGGGCTTGTTCTGCTCAAGATGCCTGGTAGAAATACAAGTGGAAATGCCAAGCGGGCAGTTGTTGGATGTACAAGTTTGAGGTTGAAATAAGAGAAGGGCTGAAGATGTAAATTTAGGAGCCATGTGTATATAGATGGTATTTAATGACGTGGGTCTGGGTGAGATCAACAAGGGCATGGTTGTAGGCAGACAAGAGTGCTTAGGACTGTGCCAGGGGCACTCCAGCATTTACAGGTCATGGAGATGAGGAGGAAGCCGCAAAGGAGATTTAGAAGGAGCAGCCATGGAGAGCTAGGAGTAGAGCTGGGCAACGTGAGGACCTGGGAGCCAAAGGGGGGAAAAGTATCTCCAGGAGGAGGGAGTGGTCAGCTGTGTCCAGTGCTGCTGAGAGGTCAGGTACCATGAGGGTTAGCAATATGGAGTCACTGTGAACTTGACAAGGGCTTCCAAGTGTCCTCAGGGCCCAGTGGAGTAGTGGAGACCAGAAGGTGATTGCAGAGGCAACTTTGTAGTTTTGCTGTAAAGGGAAGCAGGGTAGTAGCTCCAAGAGGATGGAGACAAAGGAAGGGTGTGTTTGTGTTTTAAAGATGGTAGAAATACTATTTTTGCATGTTGCTGGGAATGATCCAGTCTAGAAGGCAAGATTACTGATGCAGGAGATGGAAAGCATGGTTGTTGGAAGGACGTCCTTGGGTAAACAAAACTCACAGAATTTTTTCCCAGGCTCCTTCAGTTCCTCCCGAGGACTGGTCCAGGCCAACCAAGGCCTCTGAGGGTCTTGGCTCACCCATGCTGTCCACCCCTACTGAGGTAGTCCCAGCCCTGGCTCACCTGGGCCTTGTCCAGCAGTCCATACACCGTGAAGATGTTGGTGTCAGGCCGAACCATGACAGCGTGGGATGGCATCTGTGCCAGGTTGCAGGCCTCGAACTGAGACACCTCAGCCCGAGCCCCATTGGGGCACAGTAGCTCATAGTCCTCAGACTTGAGCTCTGCAGCCCAGGGCTCGGGATTGTGGCCTGAGGGGAAAGGCAAGGACAGAGTGCTATCCTCCTGAACCCCCAAATCCTTCACTGGAAGGGAGGGTTCTCCAACTGTGCTATCACTAGGAAGAGAATCCAGTTGTGTTAATAATATTAGCAGTCCAAAAAAACCAAACCAAAGCCGTTGCCATTGAGTTGATTCCAACTCATAGTGACCCCACAGAACAGAGCAGAACTGCCCCATAGGGTTTCCAAGGAGCACCTGGTGGATTCAAACTGCCAACCTTTTGGTTAGCAGCTATAACTCTTTAACCTCTACACCACCAGGGTTTCCATGAGCATCACTGTAGGGGAGCCTCCTGAGGTCCTCTCTAGCCCCACTCCTGCCCTGACTCCATCCGAGGACCACAGGGAGGACAGGTCTGGCGCAGGCAGAGCTCCATCTTCGTGGGGGAGCTTCCCAACTGTCCTGTTTGGTGGGAGGTTGGGCAGGGGAGAGGGGCTGGGGCAACACAGAGGCCCCAGGGCCTGGAGCCCTCCCCAGCTCTGCTACACAAACAGTATCCTCCACAGGCATGGTGGGGTCAGAGTTTTGAAATACTGATGGGTCTTTTTTCCCGGCATGTCGTGCTTCCCCTTAGCCAGCTCCTACAGATAGACCTTTCTGAGCTCAGTCTCCAGGAAGAGATGTGTTAGGACAGGATGAAGAAGACTGAGCCTCCAGCATTTGGGATTTCAAAGCCTGGGGTGTGGACAAGGTATGCAGAAAATACAAGCAATAGTGGTTGGAGGGAAACAGCCTCCTGTCTTCAAAACCAAAGCAGTTGCCAAGGAGTCGATTTAGACTCATGACGACCCCAAGTGTGTCAGAGTTGAAATGCTCTCCACAGGGTGTTTAGTGGTTGATTTTTCAGAAGTATATCACCAGGCCTTTCTTCTGAGGCACCTCTGGGTAGACTCAAACACCAACCTTGCGGTTAGCAGCTGAGCATCATGGTTTGCAGTACCCAGGGACTCTGCTTCAAAAAGGATAAAGATCCCCTGACTGAGGAGAACAGGAGGGTGGTAGTGATGTAAGCTAAGGGGCCCTGACCTCTGACAGCACCCCAGGTATAGGTTCAGGGGGTCCTGGAGCAGAGAGTTCCTGGGCTCTTTCTCTCAGGTGGAGCCCAGGAGGAGAAGGTGACTTCAGACTAAAGGGCAGGCCCCGCACTGGCATGGCTAGGGGGCTGCAGAGTGATTTCCTTGCAGGGGCAGTGAACTGAAGACCCGGCCGCCCCTCCCCCACTCACACACTCTGGCACTACATAAATACCCCGGAAGTGGGGGTCTCTCCAAATTGACCGAGATTGAGTTTCTGCCATTTTGGTAGGATAGGGGCTTGAGCTCTGGATCAGTAAAGGCTGTCATGTCTCCTGCACACCTGGGCTGTTCCTACCGCAATGGCCCAAGGGGCGGAAGCCTTCTAGATGTATTCTCTCCCGGTGGCCACTCAGGCCCCCAATCCCAGCAACACCCAGTGCCTGGATTGGGCTGGTGTCAGGGAACAGCCCCCCGAGACTTCAGGCCCTGCTCTGGCCCGAGTCCCCCCACACACACCATTTGTGTTGTCAGAGACGGTTGTGTGCTTGACGAAGGCGACGTCCCCAGCATTCTCCACGAGGCACCTGCCGACAAGGGCACAAGGCAGATGTTGGGCAGGAGGGTCCCGCCCTTGCTCCGAGCCCAGACCCACCCGCAGGCCCCAGCAGAGTACCTGAAGGCGCCGCTGTAGCCGTAGTACCGCTCCTGGCTGTTGCCCACACACTTGTTGCGGCCCTGCTCGTCCCCCACACAGAGCTCACACAGTGAGGACGGGTAGTTCTTGGGGTTGTTCACCGGCATGCAGCTGGCGCTGAAGAACTCGCTTACCGCTGGGCAGAAGGGGAAGGGGCTGTGATGAGAGGCGGGCGGCAGACAGGGCAGGCCAGGGGAGAGATGGGGTGGGCCTTTCCCCCACAAATCTGCCCGCCTGCCTTGTCTGGCCCTACGGCCGGCGCCACCCGTCTGCTCCACTTCACACCCAGCTCAGAGCAGCAGTCTCTGTCAGAATCTCAGGGACGGAGGAGAATGAGAGGAACCCCATCAACACCTCTCGTAAGTAGTCACCCAGCCTTTGCTTGGACTCCATCAGGGACAGAGAGCTCACCACCTCACAAGCTATTCTGTTCCAGTCAGAGCTGTCTGGGAGGGGGAACAGCCAACCCCAATCGATACCTCTGTGTGCTTGGGTGGGTAGTTAGAAAATAATGTTTTCCTCCTGAGGGGCCAGGAAGGACAGAGGTGTGTGTCCAGTCAGCCCAAGGATCTCAGCAGCTTCCTACTGCCTTCCTTTCCCCGCGAACATTACGGGATTTAACCCATGGGAAGGGCCTCGTGTAGCACCAGGCGTACGGCGGCCGCTTGTCTCTTCTGCCTCCCTGCCCCACCCTGATTCAGCACTTATGTAGACACCTGCATACTTACGCAGATGCCTGGACGCTGTCCAGCAAGGTCCCCCAGATGCCGGGACGGTAACACAGCCAGGCCCAGAGCCCCGCACACATCCTACTTCCATACCCACTGATAAGGAGGGGCCACAGCTGGCTCTGGGTAAGTGGGTAGGGGTAGGTACCACGGGACCACCAAAGAACCACCAGACAGACACCCTTGACTGTTACAGGTGCTCCCAAGAATATTCCCCAACTTTCCCAAGAGCAAGGGAGCAAGGGGCGTGTCAAGGTAGAGGAAATCCTCTCTGCAGCTGCCGGAAGAGGACCCAGACCTCAGAGCTGACCACCGTCCCAGCCAATCCCAAAGAGGAGTTCCCGCGTCTCTGGCCGGCGGTGGGCGGTACCTGTGAGGACGTCGCAGTCCTTTGGCCGAATGAAGCCCCTCTGGATCAGGGCGCCCACGGGGATGTCCCAGCCCGCGGGGGTGCCGAAGCCGGGGTGGCAGGAGGGCTTGCCCCGCAGCTCATCCATGGTGAAGGCGTAGGAGCTGTTCCGCTTCACCAAGGCCACAACGAAGTACGAGTTGCTCCTGTCCTCCGCTGGGGGAGGGGCGACATCACGTGAGGGGCCCCTCACCTGGCTTTCCCGGCCTCAGCGAGGGGCAAGAGCTGGGGCAGGATCCCCAAGGGGCGGGATCCCCGTGGGGCCCTCCCCGCAAACCTACTCCCTCCTGTCGCCCAGGCAGGAGAGGAGGGTCAGGCGGGTGTTCAGTGAGCAAATCCAGCAGTGGGGCCCTTGCCCTGCCCCCATGGCTGAGAAACAGCTCTGGCTGCTCCTCCATTTTTCAGAGACCTGTCCCTCTGTGCCCTTCCTCCCAACAGTCTTCATGCCAAAGGGGTTTCTTTCTTCCCCCTCAGACAGCTAGATTCTGGGGGTTCTGCAGTGACTTTGGATGGCCCCCCTGTGCTGGGAGGGCTGGGGACCCACTGGGCCTGGCTCTTTAAGATGGAGAAAGGGCAGAGTCAGTTCTGACACCTGGCTGGTATTTTTCTCAGCTCATGGGAGAAAGTAGAGACTTAACTGAGGCCTGCAGACGCCTAGAGATTTTTCACATCCAAGTGGAAGGGACCAGGGCCCCCAAGGTCACTACTGAGAGGGCAGAGGCCAAAGCCGCAGCCCAGGCTACTTCAAAGTGTGAATGTGTGACAAGGAGCGGGCTCTGGTGAGGGGTCCGTGGGCCACCCCATCAGGCCTGGAAGGGGCCAGGAGACCCTCTTGTTCAGGGCCTGCTTTGTCCAGCCCAGGCCGGAAAGTGAAGAATGATTTTATATTTTTGAAGGGTTGTAAAAAAAAAAAAAAAGTGGCCCGCAAAGCCTAAACTCTTTACTCTCTGACCCTTTACAGAAAGTTTTGCTGATAGTGCCAGACTTTCTCATTGAACAGATGGGGAAACTGAGGCCTGGGGCAGGAGGGGCTTCCCTGGGGACAGACAGCAGCCAGCCCTGGGAGAGGGAAAGTGAGCGAGAGGTGGGCCTCCCTTGTGCAATGTGGCTGCACCTCTGCCCCGACCCCTGAGAGCCGCTGCCCCCACCCTCAGAAGCAGTTACCTTTGGCCGAGGCCCTGGGGGAGGCTTCACAACCATGGCCTCCTGGAGCTAGCTGCTGGCCCAAGGAGCTGGCTGGAGCTTTTGGAAATGGCTCGGGGTGTACAGTTATGTATAAATAAATATCAACAACCATCCAGCTGAGGCTGGTGGCTGGCACCGACACTCACGGGCATAGTGCTCCCCGGCGGCGGGAACCAGGCCGTACATCTTCCCTGCCGTGTAAATGTCTTCTCCCCTCAGGGTCACAGCATCGATTTGCCCAGCCTGAAGGGGGATGGAGAGAGTGGCCCCGCTGAGGTGGGCCCTAGGATGGTCCTGGATGTTGGGGTCCGACTATGGTGCCAGGGCCTGGTCTCTCGGGGATTGGGTGCCTCAGGCTTCCGTGGGGAACTTGAGTGGAGAAGCCTCCCACCCCATCCTGCCTGCCTGCCCCTCCTGTCTTTGTGAGGCGGCCTAGGCAAGACGGGTGCTTGGAGCCAGAGGGCTGAAACCAACCCACAGCAGCGCTCCTGGACTTCTGTTTCATTCTTTCAGCAAATGTTGACTGAAGGTCTCTTTGTGCCAGGCCCTGTCTGAGCAAAACATGCTTGGTATGGGGTCTCCCCACGGGTCTCCAGCCTTGTGAGGGCAGGGGCACCGGCCCAGGGCTGGCACATAGCGGGAGTGACGTGTATCTGTCAGATGCGTATAGAATGGATGACTGAGACAGGTCTTAAAAGAGGGCAGACCCCAGGGCCTGTTAGAAGAGGGCTCCAGGACTGAGGGATAAAGCCTTGCCTGAGGAGGCAGCAGAAAAGGCCCAGGGCCAGGACCCCCTCCCTCAGACCCTGAAGCCCCTTCTGGTCACCCACACCCCACCGCCATCTGCCCATTCTGAAGTCTCTTGAGAAGTGGCCCCTCAGAGCTGGCAAAGGAGTTAACTGGTAACCAAGCAATAGCAGAGTGCCAAACCAAACGGCCGAGGGTGGGGCCCTGCTCTCCCCAGCTATCTGACCTCGGCCAGTCACTTCCTCAGCCTCTCTCAGCCCCAATCTCCACATCCAAAACTGAGAGTAATAATCATCCTCACGCCATAGGGTAGTTGTAAGGATTAAATGAAATAATCTGCATCAATGGTTTCGCACACAGGAAGTGTTAGCTATTATGAGGTTGCTCCCCTTTCTTCCTCTCCAGTCCCCTCTTCTCGGGTTCTCTGGCCAGGGCAGGGTGGGCACCCCTGTGGAGTGTGGCCTGACCTGAGGACTGCTCTGATGAAGGTCCTGGGCAGCACATTGGGACTCCTGACCATCAGGCCCGACCTTGCTCCAAAAAACAGGAAAGGAAGAGTCCAGGAACCCAGAGGTTGACAGGCCTGTGCCCTGGCCTGAGGCTGGACACTTGTGACCACAGTAGGACCCCATTCCTGACTGCAGGTTTCCAGGGGGCTCCTCTGTGTCCTGGCCTCATTCTGCACTCAGGGAACCAAAGCAGGACTGAGCTGAACAGGGTCTCAGAGACCAGGGTCAGTGTTTTCAGCTGCAGGTGGAGGGCCTAGCCCCCAAATCAAACCCATTGCCATCAAATCGATTCTGACTCATAGTGACCCTATAGGACAGAGTAGAACTGCCCCATAGAGTTTCCAAGGTGTACTCTTTATGGAAGCAGACTGCCACATCTTTATCCCACGGAGCCGATGGTGGGTTTGAACCGCCGGCCTTTTGGTTAGCAGCTGAGCACTTAGCCACTGTGCCACCAGGGCTCCTGGAGGTCCAGATCAATTGAACGGGTCATGAAAAGCATTACAACAAAACAGACAAACCAAAACTAAGATAGAACACATCAGAAAATAGTGTACATTGTAATTAGTAAGGATAAGCTTTGTTTTATGAAATGTTTTTTCATCTATATATGAGGGATATATATTTCTCACATATTTATATCTGAAAGAAGAGTTTTTGTGTACTAGATTATGATATAAAATGTATTTCTTACTGAGGGTTACTGCCAAAAAAGTTTTAAAAACAATGATCTAAGCTAACCCCCCTCATTGTGCAAATGTCGGGAAACCGAGGCTCAGGAATGGAAGGGATTTGATGCAGAGTCGGTCAGTCAGGGCGGAGCTGGACCAGTCTCGTGCTCCTTTGTCCAGGTCTGTGAGGAGCAGTCTCTGGGCTCCCCCAGGGGAAACAGCACCCCCTCCCGGCCCCGGCTGTGTCCCCCTTTCTCTGTGGGCTGTCACGGGAGGCCTCCTCCTCCTCCTCCACAGGCCGCTCTGTACCCTCCAGGCCAGGCGGCCCCGAGGGAGGGCAGGTAGGGCCATCCCAGGGGCTGTGCTACCTGCCCGCAGGGCCCACTCTGTCCCTCCCCAGCACGGCCCCACCTGGATGCGCTCCATGCAGTGCTGGGGGGAGTCGGCCGACACGCACTGGATCTCCGGCTTGAGCCTCTGCCGACTGAAGGCCACAGCCATGTCCCCACACTTCTGGATCTCGGGAGTGGACAGCACGCACCAGCGCAGGTAGTGAGGCAGCCCTGCGTGAGTGTGTGTGTGGTCACCGCCAGCTCCCCCGATGCCAGGGAGCAGAGCACATGGTCGGGACCTCCGTGGGAAGAGCTTCGAGTCAGACCCAAGGGAAATTCTGGCTCTTTCCCGTGTTAGCTCTGTGGCTAGGATACATGATTTAACCACCTGATTCCATTTCCTGGCGCAAAAAGGGGGCAGGTAACTAGCTCCTTCATGGGGCTGTGAGGAGGCTTGAGGCAGATGGCGGGTATTGTGTATCTAACCCCGACTCTGCCTCACCATTTCCCTGGCTGTGGGCAGAGTGTGGGGTGGGGGCAAAGGGAGGAGGAATGGAGGCAGGATGGAGTGGCCATGGGGAGGAGAGTAGGAGGAGGAGGGAGACATCATGGAGGAGAACTGACTAGACTTGTGCCCCCCATTGGTTCCAGGACAGACCCTGGTGTTCCTGGCTCCTGTTCCCCTGGAGCAGGCGGGGCTTCCAGGGCACAGCCGGTCACCAAGCACCAGAGATGCTTTCTCCCCAACCCCTGACACAGAGAAGTGGAAGTGAAAGGTTCCCATAGAGACCAAGAGGCACAGGCTGGGCCTCCCGGAGTGTCCGTGCCACGCCCATGGTCAGGGCACTGGAGCTGGGAGGAGCAGACAGGTGGACTTACGGTTGGGGTCACAGAGGAGACCCTTCATGGCGTGCAGGTACTCGCGGCCCAGCCATGCCTCATAGGTCTGCATGGCGATGGGCACCAGCTCTGAGGTGGTGTCTTTGAACAGCAGGTTCTTCTGGCCGTAGGCCTCAGAGCTGAACATCTGGAAGCTGCTGCCCTCATGGCTGAACAGACGCTGTGTGCAAAGGGGTAGGGTGGGGCTGGGGAGGATGCTGCAGGGTTCCCCACCCTCCCTTCCCCCTGCAGTTCAGCCACCAGCTCCCTCTTCTGTGCCAACTGTCAGGACCAGGTGAGACATCTCCTCCACGAGCCTCCCCAGTTCTGCGTCTCCATGCAGTGCGTTCTGCCTGGTCTCATTCAGCTGTTTGTGACATGACTTAGGGCCCGGGTGTGGGTGGTGTGAGGACAAGCAATGGGGCTGCAGTTGACCGGAAGAGGACGAGTCCTAAGGAAGGAACCTTCTGGGCCAGTGCAGGTCTGCGAGGGCACCTCAGGAGCTGGGCTGGCTCAGACCACAGCTCCACCCCTCTGAGGATGGGCCCTGCTGTGCTCCGTGCCCCCAGGGATCCCCTGTTCCCTAGTGCTGGGCCTGAGCTTGTACCCCACCCCCACCTATCCAGTTGGGGGAGGAGCAGCTGCCTCCCAGGCCCTGTCCAGCCCATGGCTCTCTTCATCCCGGTCCCTGGCTCCTGCCCTCCGGCCCTCTGGACAGGGAAAGCCAAATGGGGGTGACGGGACTGAATTCTACAGGCTTTGCCAGTTCTCTAGGATCAACTTTTAATTCTGTAGTTTTAATTAAAAACAAAAAAAAAACAAAACACGCCCTGAACATAAACATAGCTTAGTCTTTCCGATGACTACATCATAACCAGTACCACCAAGCAATTTCCACGGCTACGTTTGGGTTGGTGTTTGTGACCGTCAGCACCAGCCTGTTCTTTGTTACAAGCCATTGAGGAAAGGTTAGAGGTGGCCCTAAGTCACACATGACAGGTTTGTAACAAGGGCAGGCCCAGGGCCACCACAGTGCCTGGCACAGATGGAGGTTTGGCTGAAGTTCAAGCAGAGGGAAAAGGTTCAGCAGGTGCGGATTCTGGAGCCAGATGACCTGGGTTCGACTCCTGGCTCTGCCACATGGGCAAGCTACTTAACCCTGGAGCCTTGGCTTCCTATTCCAAAAAGGAACATATTATTATTACCTACTGTCATGGATTGAATTGTGTCACCCCAAAATATCTGTCACCTTGGCTAGGTCATGATTCCCAGTATTGTTATGATTGTGTAATCTGATGTGATTTCCTTATGTGTTGTAAACTCTATCATTATGATGAGGTTATACTGATGGGGTCTACAAGATTGGATAGTGTCTTAATGCAATCTCTTTTGAGATATAAAAGAGAGAAGCGAGCAGAGACACATGGGAACCTCATACCATCAAGAAAGCAGTGCCAGGAGCAGAGCACGTCCTTTGGACCTGAGGTTCCTTCCCAGAGAAGCTCCCAGACCAAGGGAAGACTGATGACATGGACCTTCCTCCAGAACCGACAGAGAAAGTGTTCCCTTGGAGCTGACGCCCTGAATTTGGACTTGTAGCCTACTGGACTGTGAGAGAATAAACTTCTGTTTGTTAAAGCCATCCAGTGTGGTAGTTCTGTTAGAGCAGCACTAGATGACTAAGACATCTACTACCAGGGCTGCTTGGCTTGTAAAGGTCTCTTTTGACAATTATTACTGTTGGGTAAGGTGGTAGTATGGATGGGGCAGAACTGCTGGCACCCCAGCAGTCAGAAGCCCTATCTCCATGGTGTAAGCAGCAATTTCAGCAAAGCATTATTTATCACAGGTAACTAATGGTTGCCAGCAACTAACATCAACAACTACAGTACAGCACCTTGAAATGTCCTGGTGTTGTCATTTTGCTAATTGGTTCTGGTTTTGGTTTTACGAGCCACAAGAACAAAGCGCTTTCTCTAGGGGTGCCTGAGTCTCTGGGTCCCCCCTTCCAGCCCTCCCTGGTCGGCCCTCCTCCCTGTCACTAGCCCAGTGGGTCACTCATTCACACTGACCAACACAGGCCACAGCGTTCTGGGTCCCCCACTGGGGTCTGTTCCAGGGAAGGTCTCTGGGTTCTATCTCTCTGGGATGGGCCGAGCTCCCATCCTGGTGAGAGATGAGAGGGCCCTGCACCCCCAGGGCCTGTGTGGGTGCCCTGTGCTCACCTGGCCTTCATTGAGTAGGCGGAAGATGAGGCCTCCATCCATGTCGGCCCGGACCACCACGGCGTGAGCAGGCACTCGGGCCAGGTGGCACCACCTCCACTCAGTGACATCGGCCCGGCTGCCGTCCCGGCACAGCAGCTCGAAGTCCTGTGACAGCAGCTCCTGGCCCCAGGAGGGCAGGGTTTTTCCTGGGAAGATGCGACACCCGTGGTGAGCCAACCCCTGTCCTGAGAAAAGCTAGGGGGACAGGCGTAAGGCGACCCTGGGAGAGAGAGCCTTAGGAGAGGCTAGGGGGTCATGGGCCACAGACCAAGGATGAAAGAAGGTCGTCTAGGAGGTGAGGACCCAGGATGACAGCAGGGGGTGAGGACCCAGGATGACACCAGGGGGTGAGGACCCAGAACTGAGAATGAAGAAGAGGAGCTTGGTGGCCCTATCCTACAAGACCTGTTGTCTCAGTAGGTGGTGACTGTTAGGTTTCGTTCTGCTCACCAACCCAAAACGCTGCCATCGAGTCGACTGACTCGTAGAAACCCTGTAGGGCAGAGTGGAACTGCCCCATAGGGTTTCCAAGGAGTGCCTGGTGGATTTGAACTGCTGACCTTTTGGTTAGCAGCCGAGCTCTTAACCACTGCGCCACCAAGCCTCTGTACTTCTCACCAGCTTCTATTAATAGAATGGATTTGAGATGTCTGACAATAATACAACACATATAAACAGGACTATTTATTAAAGATAAAAAGAGTAAGAGAAGTTTTAGGATGAGAGAGATCAGTGCACCAGGAACTTAGGGTGAATTCGCCATTGCTGTAGGGCACTAAATTTGGCTCCGGGGAGAGGGCAGAGGGCAGAGGGCAGGGGGCAGAGGGCCATGGTAAAAACCACTTTCAACAGAATCTACCCAGAACTGTGGCTCAGAAAGAAAAGGGCAGCTCCCCAAAGCTTTCTCCACACTCCAACTATTAATATTTTGGTACATTTCCTTCCAGTGCTTTTTTTCTAAGCACATACATTTTTAACATAGTTAAGGATATACTTGATAGCCAATTTTGCATCTTGCTTTTTTTCCAACTTACTATATTTTCCCATACTATTAAAAACTTCTCGTAAAACTCATACATTTCTTAATAGAAAACAAAATTTATTTAGAGTATGACTATTGACACCAAATAGGAATATTAAGACTAGTAAAAAGGACTGTAACTAAACCTTTAATAAAACATTCTACATAATGATGTTTTTATGACTTTCGAATCTTAAAATGAGGGGGAAAGCTTCTGCTAGGAAATAGGAGGGGAAAAGATTATTTGTGGGATCCTGTAAACTTTGTTCACTCCAAAGCTATTTAAAAACAAAAATACAAGAGAGTAACAGTTTGGAAAACTCCAGAAAGGTCATTTTTAATGGCTGCCTGATCTTTTATTGCACTCTTAACAATTACTCGGTGCAATTCTCCCCCCTCTCAACTTTTCTCTATTTTTAAACTAGTGCAAATGCTTTGTTTGTTGAGAACTCTGGAGTATCATTGGGCCTTCTCTTGAGACAAATGCATGGTTTCAGAATTTCGATCTGCCATTCCTTTTTCTCATTGCTATGGAGGGTTAAAGTCATACTGCTTTATGACTTCAGATGTTTACGTCAATTTCACTCGTCAACTTTTTGCATAAAGGTATTCTTTTTAGAAAATTATTTCCTTAGATTACCATCAAAACTTAAAAAAAAGCTAATATAATCCAATACATCCTTATTCTTTGCCCACTTTCCAAATTTTCCTTTGCTTAAATCATCCTGGGGCCTAAGTCCAGGGCAGCCCGGTTTTGGAAGGTCACCCTGCTCGGAAGACAGCTAAGCTCTACCCTGAGATCCTATGTGCTTCGTCCTGTTTTAGATCATTTTTTCTCTTTCTCATATCTGGTTCATATTGTTTGCCTTCATAAAGGTCAGACGACATGACGGGCTTTCTGACTTAAAAGGCAATGATGAATAAAAACGACAATAATTAAAAAGAAAACATAACGATCAGACAGTCTGCAGTCGGTAAAATTAGAGACAGAAGTCTGATCGGCAATTGGCAGGGAGGAGGTGAGAGGAGGGATTGACTATAAAGGGGGCAGGAGGGAATCTGGGGGGTAAAGAGTCTATTGTATATCTTGGTGTGGTATGGTTACACACCACCAACACACGTCTGTTTTGGCAAAGCTCATAGCACTGTACTTCAAAAGAATGAATTTTGTCGTATATGAAAAAAATATATTATCAGGCACATACAAATTAAAGGACAGTCTATGAAATAACTGGCCTGTATTCTTAAAAAATGACAATGTTATAAAAAACGAAGATAAAAAACTGCTCTACGGAGACTAACGAGACATAAGAACTAAATACCATGTAGGATTGTAGATTAGATCCTGGACCTGAAAAAAAAAAAACTGCTACAAAGGTCAGAGTTGGGAATGAATTTGGAATCTGGAATGTAGATTAGATAATGCTTTACCAACATTACATTTCCTGAACTTGATAACCGTACGTGGCTAAACACATCTCCTTGTTTCTTGAGAGATACACGCCGAGGGATTAAAGGGGCATGACGTAGGCAAGTGTACTTCAGAGAGTTCCAAAAACGCCCACACACGTATAGAAAGAAAGATAAATCAAATGTGGCAAGATGCTAAAAATTGGAATCTGGGTACAAATATATGAGAGTTCTCTGAACTATTCTTGCAACTTTTCTAAAGCTTAATTTTTCAAAATAAAAATTAAGTGATAATGATATAACTAATCAGTGCATAACAGCAAAGGCAGTCTCCATGGTGAAGATTGTTTTTAGAAAGCGGCTGGCTGCCATCTTTATGGGGATGGGTCCTTCAAGTAGAAGGAGAAACTTGTCAGGAAGGGATCACAGATGAGATCTATGCAGAGGTCTGCAAACAATTTTTTTTTTTTTTTTTAAAAGAACCTAGTCTTCATGTGGAGTCCTTGGGTGCACAAATGGTTAAGTACTCAGCTGCTGACCACAACGTTGGCAGCTTGAGTCCACTCAGAGGTGCCTGGGAAGAAAGGCCTGGAGATCTACTTTAAAAAAATCAGCCATTGAAAACCCTATGGAGTACGGATCTACTGTGACATACATGGGCTCGCCATGAGTTGGAATCAACTCAACAGCAGCTGATTTTAATCCTCAAGTGGAAACAGAATCTCATGTTGGGTGTGGAGCAGAGCTGCTCACCGAGCCCCCTGTCCCACGTATAACTGAGGTACATGAGTTTGAAGTCCATGGGCAAGACGCACCTCATCCTTTCTGCAGATGGGAGCGCTAAGGTTCAGAGACAGTGAGGGGCTTACCCAGGTCACCCACAGAATTCCGGGCATCACTGAACTAGTGCTCCCGCTCCACGTGCTGTCACCTGGGGGACCCGCCTCACTCATCAAGGGGACTGACGTTACAGAGTGCCTGCTCCCTCCCACTCACCATCCGTGTTCTCCAGCACTGTGCTGTGCTTCACGAAGGCCACGTCCCCTGCCCCTTCGGCCAGGCACCTGCGGAGGGGAAGCCAGGGAGCCTGGGTGGGGCTGAGCTCCCCTGGGACCCCCCACCCCTGCCCATCTCCCCCCTCGGGGGGTCTGGCCAGGACTGTGGGGTTGGTGACAAGGGGCAGGGAAAGAGCTCAGGCTTCCCAGGCATGCCGTTCTGGGAAGTGGTGTACACTTTGTAGCCTCTGAGTCCTCCTCTGTGAAATGGGCATGCCAGAGCACCTCCCCCTGGGCTGCTGTGAGGAGGAGAGATCCTGTCAGATCTCACGAGCAGGCACTCATACAGAGGCCTTAACACTCAGGGTGCTTTGAAGATGACTCTGCCCTGAGGCAGAGGATTGGACTAGAAGATGCTTTCATGACAGACCAAAAACCCTGAGTGGAAAGGACGTGACTTTTATGTACTCTGTATACGTTACCGCTCCGCGAGGGAGGCAGGGGGCTGCCTGACACTCCCCCCAACCCCCAGGAGATAAGCAGGGATTGGACACGAGGGTCGCCATCAGGGGGAATGAGCTGAGAACACCGGGGGTGGGGCAGGCAGGGGGTTGTTTCCCACCGGGAGGGACTGAGGACTGTTTCTTCTCTCTGTGCCAAAACCTGCATTTACCAGCTCTCACCCCGGAATGCGGGGTCAGGCGCTGAGGCTAGTCCCCGCTGGCACCTTTCCTCACTTGGGACCCATGGAATTTGATCACGAATTCTCCTGCATCCAGGAGAGCTTGTCTAAATCGGTGTCTGAACCAGGGGCAGAGATAAGGCCGGCCCGGGGGTCTCTGCCACCTCCCGCCCCCCGCCCACGCTGGTCTGACACCAGTACGGGGACATGGGAGTGGCGAAGGCTGCTGTTCCATTTTCTTCTCTCTGAGCCCTCACCTCCCTAAATGTACCAAACATGTTGATTTTATGAGCAAATCCAGTCTGGCACAGTCCGGCTTGATGTTTTTAAACTAACCAAGACGCATGAAGTATATAAAGGGTGCTTTGAAGAGAGGCAGCCGGCGCGGCCACTTCCGCTTTGGCGTCCTCTCGGCGGGAAGGTGTTTTTTCCCGCCTCAGCGCCTCTCCCCGACTCAGCCTCCTGTCCCAGCAGCGCCCCCCGGCCCTCTCACCGGAAGGCCCCGCTGTAATCGTAGTATCTCTCCAGGGGGCTCTTGCTACACACGCCCTCCCCGGCGGCGTCACCCCGGCACAGGCGGCAGAGGGACTCGGAGTAGCTGGTCTCTCCTGCCCCAGGGACGCAGCTGCCCCCAAAATAGTCACTGACCGCTGCAGGAAGGAGCAGAGAGAGGTCAGTCAGACCCCACCCATCCCCCAGTTTAGGCGGTGAGGGCTCAGGCCGACTCCCTGGGCTCCGCTGAGGCCTGGTCCAGACTTTCCTGAGAATCCTCTCACCTTCTCGCTTCAAGCCAGAGAGTTGGATCAGATTTGTGATCCCCAAACTGGGTCCACGCAAGTAGCAACGAGGGTCTGGGAGTGACTGTTGTTATCTAAAAATGGCTCAGGGCAATACAACATTAACCTATAAGTGGCCACACACCAAACCCCACAGCCGTCAAGTCGATCGGACTCATAGAGACCCTATAGGACAGAGTAGAACTGCCCCAAAGGGTTTCCAAAGCTGTAAATCTTTACAGAAGCAGACTGCCAAATCCTTTTCCTGTGGAGCGGCTGGCGGGTTCCAACCACCGACACTTTGGTTAGCAGCCGCGCACTTCAATCACTGAGCCACCAGGGCTCCTTTAATGGCCACAAAGAGCACCTAAATATCAGCTAAACACTGTTCTCACGGTGGGTTCATTTCAAAGTCCCTTATGTGTCGTTAATAAAAGTGGGGAAAGAAATGACGACTCAATGAGAATTAATTTGACAGGCAGAACTTTAAGAACCCGGGCAGGCGAGGAGAGCAGAGACGGTGGTGAAGACATCAGGATCTGCCAGCCCCGAGGCCCCGTGTCCACTTCCTGGACAAATATTTGCTCTGTGCTTAGGAAGACCTAGTGCTGCGGGCCATGAGCAAGACGCGGGCTCTGCACCGAAGCCAGTCAGACCAGGCTTCTCATCTGGCCTGCTTCCTTTCTGGGTCTCCTTTTGGTGTCGTCCCAGGTGAGGAGGTATTTAATAAATGTGCCAAGGGACTGAGTCAGCCACTTCACCTGGCCACCCTCAGAGGACGTGGCTTCCAGGCTCTTGTGGGTTGTGCCGGTTTCCACGACTGGTTGGGTTTAGTGCTTCTGAAACCAGCCGTTGGGGCTGTATGGGGGCAGTGCGCGCATGTGTGTGTGCTCATGTGTTCACATGTGCGCACACGTGCGTGCGTGTGCCCGCAAGTGCATATATGTTCACTTATGTATGCGTGTGTTTGTGTGCACACGTGTAGGTGTGTGCACGCATGTATGTGCATGCACAGCAGTGAGGTGTTCACCGAGAACAAGGAGGTAGGGAGGTTGAATTCATACAGCAGCCCCTCTGTACTGAGCCCATGCCAGTGCTGTGCACTGTGCTGGTGTGAATGATCTCAGTCCCATACCCTCCCAGCACCGTAAGGTAAGTGTTAATTTTCCCATTTTACACATGAGGAAACTCAAGTTCAGCGAGGCAGCTTAATCTATCTCAGGGCAGGTCATGGCTGAACCAGGGTTTAAATCTGTGTGACAGCAAAGCCTGAGCCTTCAGAGACCATCGTGCTCTCTGCCTGCCCCCACCCCCGCACCAGAACCGCTGGTCACCTGCCGAGCTAACCAAGTGCGGCACATACATGGACAAGGGATTTGGGGACACCCAGACTCCACTCAAGGGGGCATCCCGGGAGGGCAGGGTGAGCATGGGGCTGCCCCATCGCCCTATCAAGCCTCTATGGAGAGTGGCACAAGCTGGGTGGTTGGCTGGGAGCCAGGAAAAGACGCCCAGAGGTGAGAAGCAGGGCTTCTGCCCAGGCCACGAGTGCCCTGGCCTCCAGAACGGAGGCTCTGGGCCCTTAGCCGGCCGTCCTGAGGGCTTCCTGTTGCTCCGTCCACTCTCGCTGTTTCATCCTCAGCCACCCCTGCTGACCACTCTCGCCCCACTTCCCAGGGAGTGCGTGTTGCCCCCTGCCCTGGCTTTCTGTCTGCAAATCAATCAGGGGATGGTCTACTCTCTGATTAGCCACTTGTGAGCTTCTGGGTGCAAGTCAGCAGCTTGTTTGGGTCCTTAGAAAATAGTTACTGATCCTGTAAAGCTGGAAATAGCGACCTACACCAGGTCTACACCAGACGAGAGCCGTTCCTTGGAGGTTCAGCGTCTCCACACGTGGTGGGACCCTGTGCCTGGCTGCGTCCTGTAGGACACACAATGAGTGAGGCAGCGTCATGTGCTCTGGAGGCCAGCCAACCAGAAACTCAAATGGTGGCAACACAAGGCGGACCAGGCCCAAAGAGAGGAGGGAGGGACACTACTGTGTGCCAGGGGAGGCTCCCTGGGGGGCTGGGACTTGGCTGCACCTTCAAGGAGATGCAAGATGAGAGTGAGGCCAGAGAGAGAGGGGAGGGGAGACCAGAGCCCCTGGAGGAGCACCACCTGCCTTGGGGGAGGATCCTGCCAGGCCAGGGCCTCACCTTTGAGCACATCACAGCCCATCACCGAGAGGCGGCCACTCTCCACCAGGTAGCCCACCGGCACATTCCAGCCCACCGTCCGGTTGATGCCCGTGTGGCAGGACTTCACGCCTTTCAGGGTATTGATGGTCACGTGGGAGCTTCTCTTGACCACAGCCACGGCATAATAGGAGGTGCCCACCTCTGGAAGGAGAGGAGATGAGTGAGGGAGAAGCTGCCACCCAGTCTGAGGCATGCTGTGGAGAAGGGTGTGTGCATGCCGTGTGTGTGTGTGTGTGTGTGTGTGTGTGTGTGTGTGTGTATACACGTGTGCATGGGTCTAAGGAGTATATGCGCAAGATGTTCTAGGTACCGAGAGAAGAGGGTGCAATCACAAGACCCTGACCACCTCTAGCCTCAAGTGGTAGATAATATCCTGAGATATTAATTCATTAATTGATTTCCCTCTTTCCTTCCCAAGCCAGCTGGCACTTAGCTGGGCCTAAATACATACACTCAGGGGAGCTCTGTAGCTAGAAAGAAGACAGAAGTAGCCTGTGAGTCTTTTGCTTTCCAAAAGCCTAGGCCCTTAGGAGAGCTTAGGGGTCTTGAGGGAAAGGTAGGGTGATTTGTGGGAGGAAGAGTGAGTAGCTGGGAGAACAGAGGGAAGCAGAGCGGGGACTTTTCCCAGATTAGAAAAACAGAATTCCCTGGGCTGGGGATGGAGGGAGAGAGAGAAAGAGAGAACTCTGTGGTCCTAAATCACTTCAGAACCTGAATGGCTGCAGGGTCCACAGGCTGGAGAATGAATCCTCTGGGCCAAGTGTGGCCCATCAGGGACCACACAGACAAGACACAGGTCAAACATAGATAACTCAGCTATGGGACCGAAGACCAGAGGGTCCTACCTGTCTCACACACACACACTTGCATGCACACGCACACACACACCACTGCCTTGGTACTGCTACCCTGGTGAGTGGGATGCCCATGATTGGAATGAAGTTGAAGTCTAGAAAACCGAGCCACTGCTATTTCTTGCACACCTGAATCTGGCCCCTGCCAACCCAAGCAGCTTTGCCTGTACCACCCTCTGACTCACCCCCAGTTCTCCTTTTAATTCCTTGAAAACACCAACTCTCCCCCACCCCGGCGGCCTTTGTCCTTGTGACACTCTCCCCCTGTTCTTTGCCTGGTTAATCCTCAATGGAAATGTCACCTCGGAGAAGCCCTCCTTCGAGCTCTAGTTCAGTAGGTCTCCCCACCCCATTATTCTCTCTCTCTAGGCCCTTAATTCATTCGCTTCATAGCGCCCACCACATTTGTAACCGTGTTTATTTGTTTACTGTTTGACCTCTACTCTTTGAGGGCAGGAAGGGACCCTCTTTTGTTCACTACTTTATGCCCCTGACTGGTACGCAGTACGTGCTCTATAAATGTGTTGAATTAGTTAAGGCGGGAGAGCTGTGTTTGGAACCCGCGAGGCAAGGCTGTTTCTGGCTTTGGGTGGAAAGGCTGGCGGGTTTGCAAGGTTTTACTGTCCTAGTCTGTCACCCAGTGTCTTCTGACAATTCAACGAGATATCAGCCAACGCCTTCTCCCAGTGAGACCCTACGCTGGGGACCACGGGGTATACAAGCATGAGGATCTCATCTCTCCTCAGGGAGCTCACTGCAGTGAGGGGCGAAGGAAATGAGAGAGAAGGAGACAGAGTCTTGGCAGAGGTGAGTGGGAGTAGGCAGTGCTCCAGGAACAGAGAGGCCCTTTGCAAGGGTGGAGGGGATCAGGGGAGACTCCTTGGAGGAGGTGACATTTGAGCTGGAGCAATAGGGATTGAATACGTATTGATGGTGGGGGACCAGCCTGAGCGGGAGGCATGTCTGGTGTGAAGTGCAGGGACTGGGCAAAGGAACTCGTGTTCCCCGTGTAACACACTGTGCGAGGTGCGCTACACACAGTGGCTCGTGTAATCTGTGCAGCAGGGCAGGTGTCATTATCCCACCTCACAGTGCGGGTTTCAAGCACACGTTGGCTGAGGTCACAGGACCAGAGGGGCAGAGGTAGGATTTGTTCCTGGTCATCTGAGCTCTGCAGCTCCTGGCCACCACCTCTCCCCCCGGCCCTAGCCCCACTCCAGGCTGTTTCTGACTGAGGGCTATGTTATGGACTGAATTGTGTCCTCCAAAAAGATTTGATTTGTTGAAGTCCTAACCCCTGCACCGATGAATGTGACCTTGTTTGGGGAAATAGGGTTCTTCTTCGCAGACGTTATCAGTTAATGAAGTAATCCCTTCTGAGTGGCAGCTTATAAAAGAGGACAGTCACGGAAGCAGTCACACGCGGGGAGAAGACGGCATGTGAGGACCCCTCTACAAGCCAAGAAAAGGCAAGAAACGCCCAGGGCTACAGAAGCCGGGAGAGACCAGGAAGGATCTTCCCCTAGAGAGAGAGAGAGTACAGCCTTGCCAACGCCCTGAATTCAGAATTCCAGCCTTCACAACTTCGAGAAAGTAAATTTCTGTTCTTCACAGCCACTCACTTAGTGGCGTTTTTCTACGGCAGCCCTAGGAAACTAGACAGAGTACCAACGTTTGCGGGACCCATTGCAGGCGGAGATCTGAGCTGGGCATTCTCACCACCTTCTTCACTCCAGGCAATTATGTATTTGGCTCCGTGTCTGATGCTATAGCACCAGGCATGGGACGGCCCCTCAGTAAGAGCGCAATGGGCAAAAGCTAGGGGGCTGCTGGGCTTCCCACACCAAGAACAGACTTGGGTCAGTGCTCTGTGTCTTTGGCATTCCTGTCCCTGCGATGTTTGAGAGAGACTTGGAGAGCCTCAGAGGGTTTATCTGGCCCAGGAACTCCAGGACTGCTCTGTGGGTGCTGACTAGCCACGGAACTGAGGCTGGCCCAGGAAGGACAGACTGGGTGGGTGGGGTATTCCTGTCTCCTTCCATCCCCCCTCCCTCTCTGCCCTCTTACCTTGATCGTAGACTTCACCCACCACTGGCTTCAGGCCGTGCTCCTTCCCCGCCTCATAAACGGCTCCTCCATCTAGAGTGATGGCATCGGCCTCCTGGGCCTGGTGGGAACACGTGGGTCAATCCTGCCTGGCCCAGTCTCGCCCACTCAGCAAGGGGCTCTGGTTCGCCCACCAGTCTGCCGAGGGCCCCGTGAAAAGCTGGAGGTCTACACTGGGACTATTTGCTAAGGAGTCTGTCTTTACTCAGCCATGAGTCCCAGGAGCCTTGAAGCCCACCCCCGCCACCAGGGCCCAGGAGTCTCCCCTTTTGCTATGCCCAAAGTGACAGCTCTCCTGGGTGAATGACTCACCTCGTTTTTCTAATTATGTTATTTAAAAAAATATTAATGATTTATTTTACAGGGTGGTGAAAATGGTTAATGTGCTCGGCTGCTAACCAAAAGGTTGGTGGTTTCAGTCTACCCAGAAGCACCTTGGAAGAAAGGCCTGGCAATCTACTGCCAAAAGATCAGCCATTACAAACCCTATGGAGCAAACTTCTACTCTGACACTCGTGGAGTCACCCTGAGTCCAAATTGACATGGCAGCCACTGGTTTAGTAACAGATATACACAGTAAAATTTATCAGATAGTACAAAATGGTGTGTATGGAAATGTCTCTCTCACTGTCCCCAGCTGCTCCGTCTCCTGCTTCCAGAAACCACCACCACTAACTGGTTTCTTGGGTTTTCCCTCTCAGATAGTCTATGCATACTGAATCCCGTAACACCCTCTTTAATTTTCTTCCTTTTATTTTCAAACACAAATGACAGTGTTATATCAGTGTGTCGTGGGGTCCATGGATAGAAGAACAGTTCAACATAATTGGTCTGTGCCCTCAGAGTGAGCCTGTTCCAAGGCCCTGGCCACATGCGGGACTATGATTGGATTAGGTCTTGGAGCAGGTCAGGGTCGAACCGAAATGAAAACCCAGGTCTCCTGTGCCTGACCCTAGGACTTCCCTTCATACCTTGTCCTGCCAGCAAAGTCCTGCCTCTGGAGATGTTTACTCAGTTAGCGCTGGTTAGCTGATCTCCTGTCACTCAGACCTGCTGCCCCACCCCACTCCCCACCCAGGGCCTCTAGCCCCTGCCCCTCCTTCCTCAGAAACCGAACAAATCTTGTTCTGGAAAACCCCGTGGCAGAGCAGGTAACCACCATGGGCCACTAAAAGTTCACCACTGTCTGCCCCCCTCCATGGGGTGGGTCGTGTCCCCCTCTAGCAGGGCCCTTGTGGTAGGAAAACCCGCCTCTCGGACACCTTTGCCCACTGGCGCCCATCTGAGCAGCAGCCTTGCCTGAGGCCTCTTGCTGCCTGGCCTGGGCCCCTTCTGGAACAGGCTGGCCTTTGTTGCTGGGAACTCAGGAGATCCTATCAACCAGACCTGGCAGGGGGATGGCGGCGGCCTTTCCCAGTGAATGAGACTGTTGTGCACACCTTCCTGAGTCAGAGCCCTCTTGTCTGGGCTGGCAGTGGTGGCGGAGGCTGGGCGGAAGGGAGAGGACTCACCGTGATGAGCTGGACACAGTGGTCAGCTGAGACGCCCTGGACGCAGAGGAGGGAGGGCTGGATGCCTGCTTCCTGGAAGGCCTTGCTCATGTCGCTGCATTTCTGCTGCTCGGGGTCCGAGGTGGTACACCACCGCACCTCCATCCCACTGAGTGCTGGGGGCAGGGGATGGGGAATAGTGAAGCCCACCTCCCAGTCTCCCCGGCATCCCAAGGCCATGGCCACCACCATGGGGGTGAGGCCTGGGTTCTGCTGTGTGCCAGCAGCTTCACGTGACCCCATCAGCGCTTACAACCAGTCCTCTGCAACGCCCCCACCAGGGACCAAGGCACAGAGAGCTGTCACAGAGACAGGGAAAGGGCTGGGCTCTTGGTGAAGCTGTGTGTAGGGTCATGGACGTTCCTGAGCTCAAGGCCTCCTCACTAGGGACAGGCCTGGGCAGATGGGGTGGTTCAGACCCTGAGCCTTTACAGAGAGAGGGTCTCCCAGGGTAGCAGCTCGGCTACTTCTAGCCCTCGCCACCTGGGGTGGAAGGAGCACTGGCTGGAGAGTCCTGGCTCTTCACGCCCCTCCCTGCTGGCCCAGGCTCCCTCATGCAGCAATGTCCTGGGCCCTCCTCATAGCCTGTGACCCTGAGGCTGAGAGCAGGGGTCATTGTGTTAAGGAGTATTGCACCCTCTTGGAGTGTCTGCGATTATACTGGCTGCAAACCCACCCTCAGTGGGTCCAGCACCAGACCACTGCCGAGGGAAGGCTGCAGGGGCAGAGGCGAGGCTGCAGGCTCAGCAGGTGAGGCAGTCAAGTTCCTGCTTCCCCAGCTGGTGACTTCAGGTGACTTGCATGACCTCTCTGAGCCTGTTTCTTATCTGAGAAAGGCAGATGAGAAAACCCACCTTCTGTGTTGTAAGTAAACCTACATAGAGTCTAAGACACATAGGTTTTCCGTAGATTCTTGCTTCTGCTGGTTGGGACCCTCTTGGGTCCCTTGATCTGCCCAGGTCAGAGTCCCAGAAAGCTCCCAGCCTGGAGGTCCAGCAGAAGGGCGCACAATTCCCAGGGCTGATGATTTTGCAGACCTGAGCAATCTAACACTCACCCTGCCTCAGCCAGGGATTGCGAAGAGGCCCAGACTCCCTAATGCGCGGCTTTGGGAGCAGTTCCCATCCCACAGGGGCTGCTGGGGGTGGCCCTGGACCAGGTGGTCCTGCCAGGACAGCCGGAGCTCCCCACTCCCACTCCCAGGGGAAGGTTCCTCTACAGCCTCCCTTCCTGCCGCCCTCCTCCTCCCTCAGCCCCAGGCAGCACCCTGGAAAGTGGAACTGCCTCCTCTCCAGTCCACAAAGAAGGCGCCCCTGGAGGCGGGCAGCTGCAGGGCCTGGACCACGGGGTGGTGGGTTTATTTTTCATTATGGTGAAGAACGCACCACCTGCCATCAATGCAGTGATCTGAACCCTCGTCCCCTCAGCCCAGCCCTGTGATTGCCACCTGCAGTTCCTGCGAGCCGCTCTCCAGGATCCCGCCTCACGTCCCACCTACCCGGCCCCTGACTCCCCTGGGAGGGGGCGGTGCCGACCCGCTCTGCGTGCGATCCCCCAGCCCTGCAACACCAGGGCACCTTGGAGCGGTCTCCCGGGAGGCATTCTAGTCCCTCCGAGTCTTCTCCCGCAAGCCCACGGAACCCTACCCGCCTCTCTTCCCCAGCTGGGGCTCGGGAGCAGTAAAGCTGCTCAGGCCCCCACACCCACTTCGGGCTTCCAGCCCGCCAAGAGCGTCTACGCCATGGACCACTCCAAGGGTCCAAACCACGCCAAGGCTCACCCTGGCGGATCAGAAACTCCACTTTTCAAAGCTCAATGCCGCCTCCTCCAAGAAGCCCTCCAGACCGCTCCAGAGGGTGGCTCCTCATGACATCCCTGTCGGCCCCGCTCAGTGTGTTTCCGCCACTGTCCTCACGACCCCACCCCTTCGCTTCCCTGCCAGAGACGCGCGCTCAGGACACACTTCCCGGCCCCCGGGACCAGGGGACTGGAGAGCTCCAGGGCCCCAGCCCCAGCGCCCTGCTCCCACAGCGGGGCGGCGGTTCCTCACCGGTGCGCAGAGTCAGAAAGAGCCACAGAGCTGGGCTTGGGTCCCGCATGGCGCCGTCTAGGGCTGACTGGGCTGGGTTCGGGTCTGGGTCAGAATGGGTCAGCAGCAGCGGGACGTCGTCCCTCCTTCTTCCCTCGCACTGGCCGGCAGCTACTTAAGTGCGGCCCGGGAGTGCCTGGGCGGTGTCCACGCCCCTAGGGCGCACCCCCGCCCCAGACTGGACACCTGAGCGGACCAGACTGGCCTTGGCCTCCGCACTGGCGCCACCTGCTGGAGCCTCGGCCGCCGTGGGGCCGGATACCACGGCGGGGACCCAAACACACTCAGCGGTCCTCTCCCAGAGAGGCAGGTACCTGCTCTCCAGGGCCTGATTCTCCCAGCTCAGGGTCCTTTTAGCTGGGACCCCTCACGGCTCTTTGAGGCTCTCGCCCCTCAACAATCTGCCCCGCATTTCAGAGCATCCTCTCTTTCTCTTGCCCTAGAAAGACGCCAGTTATCATGTCCAACCAGCGAGGGAAAAGCTTAGATATTTGGGAGGAAGAAGAGGTCAGAATTCCAGAGTCTGAATTGGTGGGAAGCTGGCAGGTCATCCGATTTATTCACCAACTTCGTCTCCAGCACATAAAGATCTGGGGATACGGATCTGAACCCAGATAGATAGGGCCCTGGCGGGGAGCTGCAGTGGGAGGAACCTCACAGTCTAGATGCGCTTCTCCTGTGCATACAGAGGACAAGGACTTGCCCAGGCTGTACATTTAGTGGGTGTCCGAGCTGGCTTGTCCCATCATGCTTTGGAAGATGGCAAGAGGACCAAAGAGTGGAAGGAGGAGGAAGCAGAGAAGAAAAGTACAGAGAGGGAGAGCTGAGGAGGAAGGGAGTGAAGAAGGTGAGGGAGGAAAGAATGGGTTGTTGATTTTTCTAGCCAGTCTTTATCAAAGCGTGGTCCCCCGACCAGCAGCATCAGCATCCCCTGGGAATTAGTTAGATGCACTGTGTTAGAAACTGTGGATGGGGCCCAGCAGTCTGCGATTTTGATTCTGGCGCACGGCACAGTTTGAGAACCACTGATCTGGCCAGACCAGAGCTGCAGTTCCCTGTGTGTTGGCGGTGGGGCATGGGGACTGACTGCCGACACTGTTACTCAGCCGTCTGCTTCCATTTATATCCTCACCTTTTATCACCACCCCCTCATGGGTACCCAGAAGTGAGACCCTCTGTCTTCGCCAGACTAGAGGACCCAGGCGGTAAGAACACTGAGCGAGAGAGATGGCACTCCTGCGTCTGAGTTTACCATCCCCTGAGACGGCTGTGCCCCCTGGAGAAGGAAGCCCCAGCTCCTCCAACTGGGCGGTGGAGCCACTGCTTACCCCACACGGACAGGATCAGCGGAAGGAATACGGGTGGACTTCAGGAGACCTGGGCCTCCACTGTCTTGCTATCACTGGCTCTCTGACTTTGGGCGAGTTGCTTCCCCACTAAGTTTCCCCATATGTAAAAGGTAGGTCGCTGTGGCCTTTCTTCCCTCCATAGCTGTCTGCTCTGGGGAACTGGAAGCGGTGTGCACAGTGGAAGCTGTTGCTCCATCCCCAGCTGGGTCTGTGGGGCGGAGTGGGCACTTCTTTCTACCTTGTGCAAAGCTGCCGATTTAACTAGCAGGCGGCCCTGCCAGAAGGGTCACGGCAGGCACACCTATCCTAGGAGGATGGAATAAGTAGAAGTGTTCTTAGCAAGCCTCACGCTCCTGGTCATGAGGATAAAGGCTCGTTTTGGCAGACTCTAGAAGCAACCAGAAGGTAATTGTGTTCATCGACCAAATCGTGCTTTTGGCAAAACTCCAGAGATAGGGAGTCTGAAGGGCCACAACCTAAGAGCTGGGGTGACGTCTTTCACAAAGAGGCCCTTCCCTTATCTCCCGGGGTCCATTCTCACTGTGACTCATCAGGGACTTGCTGTCTGCGGGCTCCAGGGGCTTCCACATCAGGCCCCTCTGCCTGGCCTTGGCACAGACATACACCCTTGCTTTTCGAAAGTTCACTTTACGTCGCTTCACTTTTGCGAAAGACCTGCATTTAGTGCCTGTTTTCAGTAATTGACAGAAATCCAAGGAGGGTTTTGCTTTTATGAAAAAAGGCGAAAAGTGGAGTTAGTGTTCAGCGTGTGTTTTGCAGGGAGCCGTTAAAGAGGCAGCACGTACCCTGAGCAGCGATAGTGGCGTCCACAACTCCTTCCATGGAACTACACTCCCCATCGCCACCGTAACTGAACTGCGTCTGTGAGCATCTGTGCTTCATCTCGATTTATTTTGTGCATCCGTTAGCAAGATGTGTCCTAAGGTATCAGAAAAGCCTAAGAGAGCTCGTAAGGGTTTTATGTGTTATTTAGTATGATTTGGTAGGTTATTTTTTGGGTCTGGGAATGCTCAAAAATGTTTCCTTTATAAATCAATGGTAATTGCTTCTTCGCTTTATGCTGTTTCGGCTTAAGAAAGGTTTCATAGGCACACTCTACTTGCGGATAGCAGGGGAAACCTGTAACTGATAACTGTGTAACGGAAATTCTGCCTCAGCTTGAGCCTGGATGCTGCCTTTTCTGGGGTGCAGACACACCTAGGTATGTCAGAGGAATGGGTGGGAGGTAATAAGGGAGAGATGAGTCAGAACAGCCTTGGAGGGAGAAGGAAGAGCAGAGATCTGCGCCCGAACTCTGTCCTTGGCCAAGTCCCTGGACTCATATTAGGGTTAGAGGGAGAGTGTGAAAAACGGAAAGAACTGGCTTCACTAACCCGTCCATAAGATGACGGGGCCTAAGCAGTGCTGTTTTGGGAGCCCCGCCCCCACCCCGCCCCACAATATGTAACAGGAAGAGCTTTTCCCCTTCACCCTGTCAGAACTTAAAGAGACTGTTGGTAGAATTATAGATGTTAAAGGTGATTCTGGTGAAGGATCAGAAAGAAGTGAGGGAGCTGTAGAGAAAACTTTATCATCTTAAAGAATACATATATCAGCATAACAGAATGTTGCTAGAAATGTGGATGTTAAATGTGCTTTTAGTGAGGACTTAAAACATGATTGTCTTAGTTATCTAGTGCTGCTATAACAGAAAACCACAAGTAGGTGGCTTTAACACAAGAAATTTATTCTCTCACAGCCTAGGAGGCTAGAAGTCTGAATTCAGGGTGCCAGCTCCAGGAGAAGGCTTTCTCTCTCTGTCGCCTCTGGAGGAAAGTCCTTGTTATCAATCGTCCCCTGGTCTAGGAGCTTCTCAGTGCAGGCACCCTGTCCAAAGGATGCACTCCCCTCCTGGTTCTTCATTCTTGGTGGCAGGAGGTCCTTCTCCTCTCTGCTCACTTCTCTCTTTTATATCTCAAAAGAGAGGACTCAAGATATAACCAAATCCTGTAAAGTGTGTCCTGCCTCATTAACATAACTCCCTCTAATCTTGCCTCATTAACATCATAGAGGTTAGGATTTACCACACATAAGATAAATACATCAGATTACAAAATGGTGGACAACCACACAATACTGGGAATCATGGCCTAGCCAAGTTGACACACATTTTTGGGGGACACAATTCAATCCATAACAATGATGAACATATTACTGGACACTGGAAGAAAGGCAACCCTTACTCTAAAGTGGAAAATAATTGGCTGAATTATGTTCTAATGTTTTGTGAAAAGTAGAACTTATAAGTCATGAACTTGAATATCTGGCTGGGATTTCTAAGGAAGTATGGAAGGTGAAGCCTGGTTTCTCCTTGCTGCTTATAGTAAAATGCAAGAGGAAGATAAACATAAGATAAATTGAGGAATAAACTATTAAGCAAAAAGGAACCAGAACTTGAAGATTTGGAAAATTCTCCACCTAATCCATACTGTAAAAATTGAGAAATCGAGCTCTGAAATGAACACCAGGGATGTGGCTGGACATCTGTTTGGTAAAGAGATTAGGTGAGTGACTTATGGATCCAATCAACCATTTCAGTGGAAATGCCATCAGCTTAGACTGAAGGGGACAGAGAGATGGGTAGAAATAAAGCAAGGCTGTCAAACTCCTGGCATTCTACAGACAGGAAACAGGCTGATAGACCTACTTGGCTTCGGACATCTGTTATCCTTCAAGAAAAGGGAAGAATGACTCCACGGATGGTACAGAGGTTGGCAGGGCTGCTTCTGCCACCGCAGGCCCAGAGGGTGTGAGCCTGGGGGGGCGGTGAGGACACCACTTTCTGGGTTCAAGAGGCCAGGGCCACCTCCTTGATTCTAGAGACCCTCCTTTCAGAACCATGGCACAAGGGGTGGGGGGAAGGTCAACCACCCAGGCAGCCCTAGGAAGCTGATACAAGCTCAAAGATGAACTTTGGAGTTACAGCCTCAAAGCCATTAATAAATCTCCAACAGCTTCATTGAATATCAGATTTCATCTGAGTAGAAACCAGTATAAAAAGAGTAAAAAAGTAAAGAATATTATATTTGAGCTCTGTCATTAAACTTTTAGAGAAATTAGTTTTACCCCAGCTACTTCCAAGGAGTGCTTCAGATGGCTTATAATAAAAACATATATACACAGCAAAAATAAAATTGATATGAAAAGAGGAAGATCAGAAAGCATGCTCAGAAGGGCAGATTATTGTACCAGCAACCAAAAATGAAAGGACTAAACACAAAAATGGACTTTTTAAGAGATTTATAGTCAGACATTTTTATCCACCCTCATCCCCATCTTCTCCATCCCCTTACCTCTGCTCCACCAATTTGCAAATGAAGTCATTGCCAAAACTGATACAAGGCTGGTTTCAGACCAACTAAAGCCACAGCAGTGAAGACCTCACTGTGCTATACATGAAACAGAAGTTGGCAGCTTCTGGAGGAGCAGAGGAGCTGGAAAAGGAACCACAGAAGATGCACTCTGATCACCTGTCACGGGTACTACACTGGGGCAGAGGAATACGAGGAAAATGCCACCTAGTCTGAGACCAAGCATACTTGTAAAAAGAGCAAAGCAGCTCAAAGAGCACATGCCCGTGTCTAAGTAGATACCCAAAAAGTACTGCAGATTCAGAGGAGACGAAGGCATTGGGGCTATAATTGGGGAGGCTTCTGGAGGAAGGACTTAGGTTGCGCCTTGAAGAAAGGTAGGACCTTGACAAGGGACTCAGG